TTTTATTTGTGCCCTTATTTTATGTTTTTTTTGATTTATTTGTTTCCTTTGCTATTCGTGCTCAGTTTGGGGACATGTTTATTCCTCTCTAAAATCTTATATGAGCCGATGTGATTTGGGTTCTTGTAAACAAGATTAGAATTAACATATTGGAGATATACTTTTAAAGAAACCCAATACGATGGCTTGGTTGGTCCTTGTGACCAAACCAAACCAAACTAAGTTTAGGGTCAATTACATGAATCATTTTTTATCATTCTGTTTTTTCAAGGACTATATGTTCAATTAAATTAAATAAATTTACGTATTTTCTTATTGCGGCATCGCATGTCAGTTTGAGTCTTCCCTTGCTCCTAACAGTTTCATTTATCATGATCATATCACTCTTCCATCGTTGTACATGACCAAACCATCTTAACTTATTCTCTATCGATTTATCTTGATTTTGTGCCACTCCTATCATTTTAATATCTTTCCTAGTCTTACCAAATTCATCTAAGTAGGGTGTTCACGGGTCAGTTCGGCTCGGGTTTACCCTGTACATGTCAGCTGAACCCACACCTTCAGGTTAAAAATCAATGATGTGTTCTCAACCGAATTAAAGAGTATTGTTTGACGGTCAATTCAATCGATTTAAAAAATCTATGTAGGGGTGAAATTTTTGTGTAAAATATTGAATTGAACTCATACATATACATATACACATACATCTACGATAGAGTAGATGAAGGAAAATGTGTAGAGAGAGAGGGAGAGAGAGGAGGAGGGGGAGGGAGAGAACCATTGCAGTTGCAACCATTGCCATTGCTGATCATCGCTATTGTTAGTTTATGTCGTCTGCCACCATAACCATCACCATCAAAGGAAAGAGGAGAGGGAAAAGAAAGAGAAGCACAGACTATGAAGCACAGGTACGGGTACGAGTACGGTACGGGTACGAGTGCAGGTACGTCGATACGTCAAAATTCAAAAAAGTATGATACGGGTACGGCTGCGGTACGCCAATAAATATATATATTTTTATTATATATGATAAAAATTATAATTTATAAAATTTATTATATATATTATATATGATCAATTATATTATATATTATACATGATCAATTACATTATATATAAAAATTTATTATATTATTATATATTATATGTATCACCAATTATATTATATATCTTATATTATATATATTATATTATATATCTTATTATATCTTATATTATATCTGAGAAGAGGCGAGAGAGCAAAGGCGAAGAGGAGCAGAGGCGAGAGAGCAAAGGCGATCGAGAGGCGAAGAGAGAGAACAAGAGAACAGAGGCGATCGAGAGACGGAGAGAGAGAGAAAGGAGAGAGACGAAGACGATCGATCAACAGTGAGCAGAAGATCGGTCAAAGAGAGAGACGATTGATCGATCGATCGATTGGTAGCCAAGTAAAACTTGTTTAAAACTATCATTTCATCCTTGGTCAATAATTTGATTGCCTTGGCTTGTGTTTGTCTAGCCGCCTCAAGAAATCTGCAGCAACTTGTTCTACATCAGTCACCTCTACTTGGAGAGAACTCGACCTCGAGTTCAAATATGGGTAGAAAGACTCCTCTGCATGATACTCAAAAAGATCAGCAACATTGAAAGTCTTTGAAATCTTCCAATCTTTAGGCAAATCAATCACATAGGCATTGTCATTGATCTTCTTCAAAATCTTGTATGGACCATACTTCCTTGGCTCTAGCTTGTTGTATATACCTATTGGACATCTATCTTTGCGCAAGAACACCATCATTGAATCTCCTTCTTTGAACACCTTGGTACGCTTGCACTTGTCAGCTGCTTCTTTGTACCTTATAGTGGTTTCTTTTAGTTTCTGTTTCACCTCATCTTGCATTGCTTGAGCTTATTTAGCCATGGCTTCTACTGCAACACTTACTTCCGAAATTCTTGGTAGACGAACGAAATCAACTGCATGCCTTGGAGGTGTCACATATACCACAGAGAATGGTGACTTTCTAGTGGCACTGTGAACCGCATTGTTGTAAGCAAATTCGGCTTGAGGCAAGGCATGATCCCAATGCTTCGGCCTGTCTCCACATATGCTTCAAACTAAGTTTCCCGAAGTTCTATTAGTCACCTCTGTCTGACCATTTGTTTGGGTATGTGTAGTAGAGCTTCGATTCAATGAAGTATCGAACATCTTACATAGAGTCACCTAAAAATGGCTAAGGAACTTCACATCACGATCTAAAGTAATAGATTGAGGTACCCTATGCAAGCGAACTACCTCTCGAAGGAACAATCGAGTCACATTGGATGCGTCTGATGTCTTTCGACAAGGAATGAAATGAGCCATCTTAGAAAACCTATCGACAACCACAAATATAGAATCTACTCCTCATTGGGTACGTGGGGGTCCCAACACAAAATCCATAGACAAGTCTTTCCGGATATTGTTAGGAATAGGAAGATGCATATAAAGACCAATATTTTGAGACTAACTTTTGGATACTTGACACGTGCAACACTTCTTTACAAAATTCCGAACAACTTGTTTCAATTGAGGTCAAAAGTAACGTTCCTCCAAGCTTGATATGGTCTTGTCTCTACCCAAGTGTCCTCTCAATCCTCCTCCATGTGGTCTTGGATTAGCTTTTCCAACAGAGATGTCTTCGGAATGCAAAGACGATTTCCCTTGAATAAATATCCCTTAGTGACATGAAAATCACTGACAGGTTTATTCTCTTTACATTTACCCCATATCTCTCTAAAATCATCTTCTTCGTAAAGCTCCTTCAAGATCTCAAATGCCACGATCTCATGGGTCAATGTAACTAGCAAATTTGGACGACGACTCAATGCATCTGCAACTCGATTCAAAGTCCCTGACTTGTGCCAGATGGTGAAGGGAAACTTCTAAAGAAATGTAGACCATTTGACATGTATGTTGCTTAGGTGCTTCTGACTGTTGATGAACTTCAATGCTTGATGAACAATGTATAGGACAAACTCCTCGCTGCACTAGGTAATGTTCCCAATGCTTGAGAGCTCGCACCACCGCGTAAAACTCTTGGTCATAGGTACTCCACTTTTGTTGGGCTTCACTTAACTTTTCACTGAATAAAGCCACTAGTCTCTTCTCTTGTGAAAGAACTGCTCCAATTCCTACACCACTAGCATCACACTCCACCTAAAAAATATGTTCGAAGCTAGGTAGAGCTATTATTGGCACGGTGCAAAGCTTCTCTCTAATCAGAGCAAAGCTCTTCTCACTTTGTGACAAGTGCCATGATTGAACTAAAATTGTGGATGATCGATGGTAGAATGTAGCCAACCCACGAAAGCTTCAAACATCACTGACAGTTTTTGGTGTTGGCCATTCTTGGATGTCTTGAACTTTTTCTCCATCCACATGAATACCTTTTTAACTAATCACGTACCCCAAGAACAATAGATTGCTTGTCATGAAACTACACTTCTTGAGGTTAACAAACAACTTGTTCTCTTGCAAAACTGTTAGCACTTGCCGCAAATGCTCTATATGGTCCCTTCAGGTTTCCTATAAATCAGGATATATCATCAAAATAAACAACTACAAATTTTCCCTGTAAATGACTTCGATACCTGATTCATAATCCGCATGAAAGTACTAGGAGCATTGGAAAGTCTGAATGGCATAACCAACCACTCGTATAGGCCATCCTTGGTCTTGAATGTTGTCTTCCATTCATCTCCCGGTTGTATTCTAATTTGGTGATACCTGCTTCGTAAGTCAATCTTTGAGAACCGTTTTGAACCTTCAAGCATATCAAGCATATCTTCAAGACGTGGAAAAGGAAATCTGTACTTGATGGTGATTTTGTTGACAGCTCGACTGTTAACACACATCTACCAACTTCCATCTTTCTTTGGTGTCAAAAGAGCTGGAACGGCACATGGACTCTAGCTTTCACAAATATGCCCTTTCTGCAGCAACTCTTCAACCTTCTCCCTCAAAATCTCATTCTCCTTTGGGTTCATCCTGTAATGCGGTAAGTTCGGCAAACTAGTTGGCACTCCAAATTTGGATTTGTGGTACCCTAAAAGTAATGCTTTTGACCTTTATGGTTACTCGGATGCCGACTTTGTGGAATATAGACTTGACCGAAAAAGCACTAGTGACACTTGTCATTTTCTTGAAAACTCACTCACATCATAGTGTTGTGAAAAACAAAATTCAGTAGGTTTGTCAACTGTTGAAGGGAAATACATTGCTGCCTCTAGTTGTTGTGTCCAAATGCTTTGGATGAAACAACTTCACGACTTTAGACTTCACTTTGATGACATTCCTATAAAATGCGACAATTCTAGTGCCATTAATCTTTTGAAAAAATCCTATTCAGCACTCACTCACTAAACACATTGAAATAAGGCTTCATTTTCTGCGAGATCATGTACTTAAAGGTGACATTGAACTTGAATTTGTGGCTACAAACCGTCAATTGACGGATATTTTTACCAAACCTCTTAATGAGGAAAAATTTACTTTATTCGAACTGAGCTTGACATGATGAATATTCCTATATGATGGTTTCATTTATAGTTATATGCCTTTTTGTGAAATTTTTCTGTTCGGACCTCTGAGGGTCGACCCCTTGCTCTATAGGGTCGACACCATGTGAACTCCTATTGTGTTTTTATTCATAAGGGTTGATACCTCTCTTCGCGAGTGTCGACACCAGGTTGTTTTTGGTTCACTGTTTTTTAGGGTCGACACCTCTTTTTGCGAAGGTCAACACCTGCCTTGGTTGGATTTTGTACTTTCTTCAGATTAAAGGGTCGACGTCGCTCTTTTGAGTGTTGAAACCTTAAGAGTGTATATACCTTGCGACCCCCTTCTTATTTCCTGCGACACCTCTCAAAGCCCTAGCCTTAGCCCCTTTCTCTTCTCCGACGATTCCTCTGGCAATTCCTCTTCCTGTCTTCATCTCCATCATTATCTACCTCTTTCGATCTTTCTCCATGGAATCTCAAGCCTCTCCTTCAATTCCATCGAAGAAACATGCTCGACATTCCACTTCCACCACCGTCGTCTCCATGCCTCCAAGCCCTAGTCTGCAATGCTTCAAAAATAACAAATGCAAGGCCTCGTTCAGCAAAGATTTCAACCTAAGAAAGGTACTATCTGGCCGAACTATTGATGTTAATTTCTTCAAAGGACAAAGCCTTCCTATTAAACAATGTTTTGATAACAAAAAATAGTCCTCTCTGTTAAAACTTGACTGTGATGGTCATCCTACTCTCATTAAGAAATTCTTTGCAAATCTATCCTATAATGAGGAATCTTCTCCTAGCACCTTGGAGTGCTTTGTAAGGGGTGATTCCTTCACTCTTAAACCCTCCATTATTAACTCCATTTTGAGAACTTCTAATGATGGTCATCGTGTGTCTATCCCTAGGCAGAAATCCTCCTAACTACACTCATCATATAGGTCTTCAATTTCTGACCAATAACCCAGCCTTAGATAAACACATTACCATTTCTGGCAATGACCTAACTCTTGAGTTGAGACTGTTGTATCACATCATAAACCACAACATCCTTCCCCGATGAGGTCGATTTGATACAGTCACCTATGGCCACACTTATCTTCTTTGGGCCCCTTTCCACTGGATACCTTACAGATTTTGGGAATTTGGTTTGTCAAGTCATGATTGATGCTCACAAAAGAGACAACCAAGCCCTACCCTATGGAATAATCTTCACCAAGATCTTTAAACATTTCAAAATTAACCTCAAAGGTGAAGACAATATCCCTAGAGACTCTGCTGTTTATGGCTCAGAAACTCTTAGGCACATAGGTTATTCTTTGATTGACAATGTTTGGACCAAAGCTAAAAAACCTGTCACTGCTCCACCTACTCTTGTTCCATCTTTCTCCGCTGATCCTAACCTTCCAAGTTCTTCATCTATGCCTCTCTCCACCCCTGGTCCTTTCTCTTCTGTTGCACCTCATGATCTTTCCTCTCTTTCTATAAAAATTGATCATCTAGTCTCCTTGGTTCAAGGACCACTTATGGTAGGGATTGCTGAACTGAACTCCAAGCTTAATAACCTTAATCTTAATGCCCAATCTACAACAGTGTCGGTTATGCCATCATCTTCTCAGTCTACCTATATTCCACCTTAATCTGATCTGGCACAAAAGATTGATCAATTGGCTTCTATGGTTCAACAAATTCTCTCTCGCCAAGTGGACATGCAACAAGAAATTGATAATATGAGGGTACAACAATCTCAGGCAATTGAAGCTGCCAAGGCAAGTGTTGAGAACATGGTGATAGTTGTTTTTGGCCTCAAGCATTCCAACGAAGAATTTTGTCAAATTTTTCAACAGCGATGGGATGACGATCTTGGCGAACAAATTCATAAATTCGTGCTTTGGTTCGCGCAAGGTTGGCTTGAAGCAGCTCCGCATTGGCCCCATGAGCCTCCTCCGTTTCGCTAGTCTTTTTTTTTTCTCTTTACCCCTCTTTTTGTTGATGACAAAGGGGGAGAAGAATTATAGTTTTAGCTTTAATGTGTATGAACTTGGATGTTGGATAGATAGTTTCTTTTTATCTTTTTGCACATGTATACGAACTTATATCCTTTTGCACATGGTAGAACAAACAATTTGTGGTACAATTTTTGGTTTGTTTTGATATAGTCATGAATGGATATGAAAGATGTGTTATAGATTCATTTTACACTACCAGCAACACACACAGTGATTGAAAGTGCACACACATTGATTGATATACTTTATTTGTGCTTGAGTGAGGCTATTGTTTTGATGGAAAAATAGCTTGTCATTTCATTCAATGGAATTGAGTCGAGATTAGCTCTTATTTGCAAAAGATCTAGTGCATATTGACAGGGGGAGCTTGTCATATATTGTAATTAGCAAGTTGTTCCATTTGTGCAAAAATCTTCTTGGCTTATATTGGGAGATTTCTCATTGAGTTTTAAAATAAAATTGATTTGGCCTTGAAGCCCTTTTCATCGGGGAAGTTTTTCGATCTTGTTTTTTAATCCATTATTTACAAAACTCCTTGAAAAATATTTCTTAAACCTTTGTCTTAAAACTCATGATTTGAAAACTTCGCACATATTTGTCATCATAAAAAAGGGGGAGATTGTTAGCCCCAAGGTTATTCACATTTCAATTTTATTGATTTTGATTATTGACAAATGTCTTGAGCTTATTTAATTATTCAAAGTTTTCAAAGTATACCCATGTCTTTGCACTTCAATGATTCTAAAGAATGTATGCTTCTAAATTATTATATTCTCATAAATAATGGCACCTCAAATTAATAGAATTAGTCCAAGTTTGCACAATGTTATTCTTGCTTAAAACAAGTCAAAGGGTTGACACCAAGATATGACACGGTCGACATCAAAAGACAGTGAAGAAAGCTTAGGTTGTTCAGCAGCAAAGGGTCGACACCAAAACATGACAAGGTGGACACAATAATAAAAAATAATAATAATCTTGGTTAGTCAATAAGTAATTTAATTTAATTTTCAGAATATGTTATTCTTAACAAACTAAAATTCCATGGCTTACCATACTCCAGGAGATATCTACCTAATCCAAACAAGTCTTAATGCCTTGTGTTTTTGAACAATTAAAATGAATTTTCTCGCCCAAAACATATCCCCACACAAAGAAAACCTTTCTTACCTGAACAAAAAGAAGTCAAATCCAGCAGGAAACGCAGAAGACAAAACATGATCACCACACAACCCTTCAAAAAAAAATTAATAAAAAAGTAAATTAAAAAAGAAAAGAAGGAAAATCGTTAACAAATATAAATTAAAAATAAATAAAAAACGAAAACAAAACGTTTGTTAATAACAAAAACAAACAAACAAACAAATTTGTGTACAGTACATAAAAAATAGAAGAAAAAGAATCCTAATTTTGTTGGACGGGCCTCATAGAACTTCCATACATGATTAATTTTGTCGATTCGATTTTGAAGATGAGATGAAGTTGTAAGCGAAAACCCCTTTTTTACGCAACAAAATATAAATAAAATAAATAAATTATGTACTGTACCCGAAGAGAAGAAGAAACCCTAATTTTGTTGGGCGGATTCGCATAGAAATTCCAAATTGTAATCCAAAATGGAAATCAAGTTGAACAAATCTTTGGTAGTATTTCGGGATCATTAACTCATCACCATCAAGATCTCAAACCATAGTCCAGATCTTGGACATCTCTCTGGACGAGGAGAGACTGAGAGATACACAGACTCAGAGATGGAGAATTTGCAGTAGGGAGAGAATGAGATACACATGCATAGACTGAAGTGAAGTGAAGACAAATTTTATGGTGTAAAAGGATGGTGATTACAAATGATTCTTGTGAATTGGATTGTTGGTTAAGGAGCTAGGGTTATTGATCTGATTTGTTTGGGAAGAGGCTGCATCTGGTGGAAGCTGAGAAAGGAGGAATGCTTGACTTATGTGGGATGTTAATTGCAAGGGATGTGGGTTGGTATTTTGCTAGCGGCCATGTGGATTAGTTGGGGCTTTTTTGGCTGTTATCCTGGTTGATTGTTAGTTTATCCTTTGTTTCATTTTTGGCTTTTTTTTGTTTTGCGTATTGTACTTGTCTTGTTGGTTGGTGACACCAATTTTGGGTCATGCTAGCAAATGATTGGGCAAGCTATTTCGGTGTCAACCTAGTTGGGATTGTTTAGTTTTGTTGTGATGCTCTTTTGCACTTACCCTCCCTTTATTGATGATAATTATTTGTATTGTTCCTTGATTATTATTATTAAAGTTTATTTTTGCTGATAAAAAAAAAAAATGTATATTGCATTTATGATGTTTTTAATTTTAGTAGTTTCATAGTCCGAGAGTTTTTATCGACGGATATTACAGGATTGAAGTCGGAAATGAGGATGAGATGTAAAGAATTCTCCAGTATCACCCGATCACTGTTTATATAGCCTGCCATGAGTCTTTCAATTGTTGTAAAGGGGTATAAACTACTAAGTACGAAAATGTTTTATTGGAATAATTTTGAAATGATTTGTAATTAAATGTTATTGTAATTTATTTTTATATGTAGGATGTGTACAAGTCACCCCGTTTTTTACACGGACTTGATATGATGAAACTAAGTGATGAATTAGATCTTGTCAGCCATACACTGGTGGAATGTCATGTGATTTGTTTTGTAGGCAAGGGGACTTACAATGGAGAACCCGCCTAGTGATAAAAAATTCTTGGGGGAAGAAGTGGGGCATAGGGGGCTCTGTATACATGCCACGCAACGGAAGCGACGCCGGAGTCTTAGGGATAAATTGCTTTCCATCTTTTCCAGTTATCGGTGATCACAAAAGATATGAGAAGCCTCGCCTCTATAAGTATCAAAGGTATTAAAGCCAATGTAATCACGTTTGGGGATATTGAGCTCTCTCTCTCGTATTTTTCTTTCATAAAAGCCAAACACCGCACAAGGAGGATTGGGAAATGTATAAATCTTGAAATAGGTCATTATTTTGCAAAGAAAGAAAAGGAAATAGTATTTGTTGGTAATGTTTGCAATCGATGAAGAAGGTGAACAAGCAAACGGAAAACTGAAATGCTGGGTAGGTACTTTTATAGAGTGGGAGATGCCTGGAGAATTTCCTTAAGCACTTAGGCTTGAGACTTAAAATTGTGTACATTAGCTTCAACCATGACTCAACTTAGAAGGAAAGTATACAGAAATATGTGATTGGTCCATGTGTCACAAATGACAATGGAAAATGGCGTGGTGCTGATGTGTCCTGTCTTGTGTGTGTCTGCACAACAAGCACTGCTTTCCTTGTACAATCATCTTACTCTAATCTTGTCCGAAATATTTTCTTGACTATCTCCTAATGATATTCCAAAAAAAACATTGTTTGCTACTGAGGCACTTACCAATCAGTCCTATGAACTAGACTTACCTACAGGTCGTAACTGATAAATTTATCACTATAAAAACAAGAGACTAATAAATTTATCACTATAAATTTATTCATAAAAATAAGAGACTTGATAAATTTATCAATAGGACTTAATGGATAATAAGTCTCAAAAGTAAGACCTATTGATACTATCAGTCCTATTAACTAGACTTATTTACCTACAGGTCCTATCACTATAAAAACAGGAGAATGATAAATTTATTAATATAAATTTATTCGTTAAAATAAAGAGATTGATAAATTTATCACTATAGATTTATTCATAAAAGTAGGAGACTAATAAATATATCAATAGGACTTTATCGGTAATGAGTCTCAAAAGTAGGATCTATTGGTAATTTCCTGTGCTATAATTGTCTTAATAATTCCATGTATTCAGTTTATGGTGGTTTCCAGGATGGTCTGGATTGCACATTTTTTTTTAATGAACATACATATTGGTTTACATTACCCATTGCATCACATTCCTACGCATCAAATCTTGACCTTTTTGATGGGTTAGCGAGACCAACAAACCCACCTAGCTAATAGGTTATGGTCTAACACTATGTTCAAGTAATAACGAAGCTTGGTCCCTCGTCCAATAACATCATTGCTAAATGGTGGATTTCATAGATATATATATCTTGTTTGCTAGTCACCTGAATATTTTCATATTTAACCTTTCCCATGCTAAAAATAAATTTAAAATCTGTTTGACTTATATTCCGATTTTATTTAGGGCTACATACAATGATGGGATTAATGGTTATATAGTCCGTTGTGCTGTAGATCGTTGCCCCCCCAATTTTCCGATCACTAGTTTTTGGAATGGAAGATATTATGGACAATCAAGTCATGTAAGCTTACATGCAATCAAAATAATTTTGTATTGGATTAATTGCAGTCACTTTTTTATCTGAGTTGTTACATTGTGTTTACTTTTTCCCTATTCACCATTCGGATGCGCTATATATAGACTTCCAGATGCTCACAAACATATCACTCGACCACCTGCTGGGGTTATATTCCCGAAGAAGTTTTTATCTTGTCATGTTCTCTGCTTGTCATTAACGTTCCTCTTGTTAGTAGTTTATTTATTATTTTTATTTCTGCATTCTATTTCATTATATAAGGCATCTACTTGTACAGATGTGCATCTTTGCTTTTGTGATAGACCCTTGTGCGTGTCTGCTTATTTCATGGTCAAGCAAGGTAATGGAAATCAAAAGGATAATAACAAATAATAAAGGAGATGCATTCAACCAAGGTTTAGAGGGAGCACAAAGACTCACAATGTTTCAATATTAGAGCCCATATGAGAACGGTTTTTTGCATGTTTTTTCAATTTGTTTGATGTGAATAGAGTTCTCTGGCTTTAGATTAATTAGATATGGTTCATTATGTTATTATTAAAATCTTGGTTTGGTTGAGGTTCTTTAAAGCAATTCCTTGCGTTAAGTCAATAAATCTTGGTTACTTGATCAAGCATGGCAGAGCACTGTAGTTGGACATATTTTATTTCAAAAATGTTTAAGAGCTGTAATCTAGGAGCTCAAAGGGAGCTCTAACTAGTGGGTCCCACCTGATGTGATGTTTTGGCCTTCCCCCCCCCCCTCTCTTTCACTGCCTGCTCATTGGAGCTGGCTTTAGAGCTGCTGATTTAGAGCTCTGAATCATAACTGATTTTATTTACACATGCTGGAGACTTAGATAGTAATTAGCTTTCCATGTATTTTACATCATGGTGTTGTGTGTTGATGGATTTGAAATAAAGGGATTTGGGTTTCATTTCATACTTAAAATAGTCGAGAGAATTGGTATTGAAGTGCGCTTCCATTTGAAGCGTTAAGGTAAAGGTATGAGATTCATCCTACTAGAATAGTTGTGCCACTAGAATTTCGGAGGTTTAGGTCAAAATTCATGTTTTTTTTTTTTCTTCTTCAAAATCATTCATAAAGTTCTTATAAATCCATTCGTGGAAAATTTAATCCGTGCTATATTGCTTGAAGTTCTTTTTGTTGGAAAGTGGAAAAATAAGAGGAATGGAAGAAGGTAGGAGCAGAAGGATATCAAAGTTCACCTTTTTTCTTCCAAAATTACTGAGATAAGGTTCTCAAATTCATTCGTGGAGTTTGTCCTCATCAAATGATTTTTAGTTATGTTTAGTCTTGCTAGGGTTCATTATAGGAAATTACACTTTTAGCTACCAAAGTTTTAGTCACCGAAGGTTCTTTTTTAGTCTTCGAAAGTCATTGGCGACTAAAGTTTTTTGTTGCCCATTTAGTCACTGAAGCCTTGTCGGCAATAGTCAATGGCAACTAATTTCGCGTTGGTCGCTAATTATATTATCTTCAGCTACTAAAACAAACTTAGTCACCTTTGGCGACGAAAGATTTAGTTGCCGAACGTGATCAAATAAAAATGGAATTCTTTTTCAACGACTAAATATTTTAGTCGCCAATAATAACACATTTAGCGACTACAAAATTTAGTCACCGTTTTATGCCACCATTAGCCACCAAATAGTTTAGTCGCCAAAAGACTGGATATTTTCATTGCATTATATTTTACGGCCAAACATTTTAGTCGTCAAAGGTATATTGTTCATTCGTGATTAAAATATTTAGTCGACAATATTGTTTTGGCTACTAACTATTTGGTGCCAAAGTCTCTTGTTTTTTTTTGCTACTTTATATTAGTCACCCAAACCTTTGTTTACTTTTTGGCTACCAAATATTTAGTCGCCAAAAACTTTATAATTTGATTTTTTCAATTAATTTCTCAACCACCTGTATTCATTGCATTATTTGTGCAACTTGTACCCTGCATATAAACAAAATAATCTATATATTGATTATATTATCAATCATTCCAGAACGTGCACACACTTCACTTTCAACCATTCAAAAAATTCATATTTAACGTCAAATTTCAAATGTAATAGAATTTCAATATAAACGAAGTATAATCCAATCTCAAAAATGTAATGCCATACAGAACAGAGGTTAAACAAAAACCATGCCCTATAAAACAAAAAAGTAATCTGTACCACGCCAAAAAAATAATCTATACGAACAATAGTAATATGTGGACTAAAACAATGTCCTCTGCAATTGTCCTAGAAAAGTCGTATCCACAATTCCACACCAAAAACATTTATAAAAATAAAATTAATCATTAGTATTGACTGAATATTGGCATATTTAAAATTATAAAAGAAAATCACATAAAACTCAAATGTAATTAATCTTTTCAAATTAATCATTAGTTTTGCATACTCAAATGTATAAAAAAAAAAAAAAAAAAAAAAAGAAAAAGAAGAAGAAAGAAATTCAAAAAAAAAAATTCTAGTAATTTTTCTAAATAATTCTTCATAAACAACTCAAATCACAGTTAGCAACTTAGAAATTCAGCTGACAAACAAATTAGTATTGACACAGACAATTCATAATTCCAATTTAGTATTAAGATAAAAATAAATCTCCAATATAATTTCACCAAAAGCTAAGGCTATTTCAACAAAGTGATATTAAACTTCTAGCAAAACAGGGCAAACACATAATATGTAGACTAGGGGCTCCAAAGAAACTTAAAAAAAGAAAAAGAAAAAAAAAAGACATTAATAATTGTCCCATTATGAGTATAGTCATTGTTCATTTGTGAAAGCTATGTTCAAGTTCGAAAGTGAAGGTAGACTTTTTAGTTTGTTTATGTTTTACTTCCATAAATGGAAAGTTTAAAAAAAAAAGAATCAATATGAAACAACAGATCATACTAGAAGCAGAATTGGAGACATTGATCTTCCTTTCTTTTTTTTTCACACAAATCAAAACTACTTCTACTACTACTTGTGAGCAGCACATTTAAACAACACAAACGGATATGGTTTTGAACAATTAATAATAATGTAAGAACATTTAAAACAGTGGTTGGAGGCTATTTTGCATTTTTGCCCCCCGAATCCCATTTTTTGACTAAGTTTAAGGTATTCTCGACTGTAACTCTCAATCTATGTGTCCTATTTACGTACCATCAGTTCTCACAAGTCATTTTTGGCACGAGGAAGCTGCCTGTTACATCCCAACAGTGGTTGGGGGGCTATTTTTCATTTTCACCCTCCGAACGCCTTTTTTTGACTAAGTTTAAGGCGTTTTCGATACTAACTTCCAATCTGCGTGTCTTATTTATGTACCATTAGTTCTCATAGGCCATTGTTGGTATGAGGAAGCTGCTCGTTATATCCCAATAGTACCTAGAAACTAACCAAGCACCCAATTCCCAAGGATATTCCGAAGGATAAAGAAAATAAATTTACATGTTATTGGCAAATATACCTGTGCAATATTTCCAAAGTTGATTGACCCTCCAACAATTATAATTAACAGCAAAGTGATGCTCATTCATTCTCCCTTTCAAACTTGACATTACAATGGCATAGATCATGCAATATACATCTGTAATTGTGCTTACCATAGAAATACAGAACTTGAAATTATGATATGCATATTGCAATCAAGTTAGGGAAAAATAGATGTTAAAATTTTCAGAACTTGAAATTATGATATGCATATTGCAATCAAGTTAGGGAAAAATAGATGTTAAAATTTTCAAGCATCGAACTCTCTGTAATACCAACTTGTAGGACGTATGACAAAGGAACTTTCAAATGTCCATAAACATATTCGTAATTAAAAAAAATCTGTTATAGATGCAGTATTTATAGCGATCCTGATTTTCCTTTTTTGTACTTGTTGTATTCCGGACTTTGGTTCCGTGGAGTTGGTGGTTGTATACCTTGTTGTCATTCTTTAATTCCTTATGTTGAGTTTTAGGATGTGTTGGGCATGTTTCGAGTAGGTAGGTCGAGCCTTGGTCTAAATCCTTGTCGCCAGGTTTTTGGTCTTTCCGCTCGAGCGGGTCGTTTGGCGCTCGAGCGGAGATTGCACACTCACAGTATTTCGTGTCCCTGCAAAACCTCAGCAGGTGTGATTTCTACACTCAAGCGGGTTTCCTGCGCTTGAGCGGGTCGCGCTCAAGCGGGTTTGTTGGCGCTCGAGCGGGTAGTACTGTCTTGGTGAAAGTTCTAGGAGAGGGAGATTTGCGCTCGAGCGGACTGGTTTTCGCGCTCGAGCGGATGTACTTTGTTCTTGTGTCTTGGCGCTCGAGTGGGCCTTCTTGTGCTCGAGCGTGTCCAGATTTTTGTGCTTAACGCTCGAGCGTTGTGTTTTCCGCTCGAGCGGAAATGTCGTATATCACAAGGCAGTTGGGCATTTCTAAATCACTTTTTACATCCTCACTCTCTCTCTTACTTTTCAAAAACGCCATTTGAGAGCCTCTCTCTCTAAAACCTTGCCTTCTCTCTAGGTATTGATCTAGTAAGAGTTATTTCCTCACCTTTGGCCTTTACAAAAAAGTTGTTGATCGTCGAGAGCTATCTTTTGATCCAAGAATGTCGGGATTTGGAGCATTTCCGTTTTCTTCATCTTCTTCGTTGGGTGTCAACTTTTGAGGTAGGGATTCCTACTCACTCTTATGGTCTTTGACATAGATCTTTGGTTGTTTTGATAAAGTGTTGAAGTTGGGTAATTTTGGGACTTAGGGTTTCAAAATGTTAAAAGAGGGTTTTGTTATTTTGATCCTAAAATGGGTATTGTGGGTTTCAAAATGATGATGTTGTTGTTTGGTTGTTGATATATAGACCGTTGGGTCAATATTGGGAAATGGGGTAGAAAACCCTAATTGGTTGTATAAATTAATTGGTATGATTAATATGGGAAAGTTGTGGTTATATGGAATTGAGTTGGAAATAATGAAATTGGCTCATTATATTGTAAGATGGTGGAGTTGGATTCATTAATCGCTCACTTTTGAAAACATTGATATTTTATCTGTTGGAGCTTTTATTATCTGTTTAGAAATAATTGCTTTGGGCTACCGGTGGAGGGTAGCTATGATTGTTGTAGACAATGCATGATGATTAGACAAACTAAAACTAATCAATTGGGTATGTCATAGAGTATGACGATTGATAGAATACATTTGCGTTATGTATTGATTGATTTTGTATATGACCTATGTGTATATACGTTGTGTGTGTGGGAGGAGATAGGGGATGTACTCCACGGTTTAGGGGAAGATAGGGGATGAACCTCTAAATCGGATGTTGTTTGGGTGGAGATAGGAGATGGACTCCACTGATACAGCTCATATGCTTGTCAGATAATGTGGTGATACAGCTCACATGCTTATCTATGGAAGTGTTGATATAGCTCATATGCTTATCTATGGAAGTGTTGATATAGCTCATATGCTTATCTGTTGAAGTGTGGATATAGCTTGTATGCTTGTCTGTTGAGATGTTGATATAGCTAGTAGGCTTATCTATTGTGAAATGAGAAATGTTTAATATGAGTCACTGTCTCATGAAAGTTGTTGGCTAGGTTCTAAGCCGTTGTTGTAAATGGGAAATTGGATAGGAATGGAAAATGAAATGAAACATAGACATAGTGGTCATGTAATGGAAATGGGTTATGAAGTGATTTATGGGAATTAAACATTTATCATTTGCTAATGTCTTAGTTATTGCTCATATTGTGTTTAGCATATCTCTACTGGGCGTTGGCTCACCCTATATGGGACATTATTTTCAGGTACAGGTAGCATGCCACCTCCAAGGACATAGCTTGGATGGATATGGGAGTTGAAGACTCTTTTTGATTATTTTGTTTGCATTACATGTATATCAAACCAAGGGCTTACTTTGTATAGAGTTAGTACTCTTCTTTTGTGTAACCAAGTGTTGACTTGGAAAGCTGTAAGCCTGTAGGGCATTTGTTTTTTTTTTGTTAACATGTAATACTGTTGTAAGAACTACTCTGATGAATAGAAATGGTTGATTTCTTTTGTATCAATGCATGTCTAAAGTGATGGGTTTTATGTATTATTTTGAGGGCGTTACAGTATTTATACTTCTTACCTCGCCTACACCGTCATTGTCACAGTCAACCCCGTCACCCAGATCTGCCATCGTGATCCATCTTTGCCTTCATCGCAAGCCTTCATCCACCGTAGAGAGAGACAAAGACAGATCGAGAGAGAGAGAGAGAGAGATCGCGATTGAGAGGGAGAGGTGGCGGTGGCGGCAATGGGCGCTAGGGTTTTGAGACGAGACGAGGGGAGCTGGAGAGGGTTTTGTGACGAAATGGGAGGGGCGGCGGTGAAAGGATGAGCCGATGACGAAGGGGCTGCAACGCAAAGGGGAGGAGGCTGTGGAGGAAGAAGCAGCGTAGGGAAGGGGAGAGTGGTTGGGGAGAGGGCGGCGGCGGAAGAAAGGGGTAGTCGACGTTGGTTAAGGTTAGGGTTTGGGCTTCGACGTCAGAGCCAGCAATGGAAACGACGGCAGTGACATTGATTTGGGGTTAGGGTTGATGAGGGTCTGGGTTATGGTTAGGGTTTGGATGTGTATTCAACTAAGGTGTGTATTCAGTTGTGGTCATTTTGGTCATTTTAAGTAAGGCCATTATTGTAATAAAAAATAACCAATTAATGGTGTGCATTGAGATCAAATGTGTGTGCAAATAAATAGAAGCATCCTTTGATATTTGTAGGAGATAGGTTAGGTTATAGATTTATTTATTACTTTAGTGTGTTGTAGGCAGGAGCCGGGCAGGAACCCTAGCCGGCGACTGCCTCGTTTTCATTGCAGTACCATTACTCTGTAGAGTCCATCCACAGCGCAATCAAACTAAAACCCATGGCTATGCGTTTTGTTCTTGAGAGGACGGTGAAAATCAAAACTTGGTATGTCAATCCAAAGCTTGGATTTTGGTTTGGCAGCAGCGCTTTCAACACCAGTTGTATTCCTCTTTGCCGGGTACTGACTGTTGCAAAAATTGTGACTCAACTGCTAGCTTATGTGACCATTATCCTCTGTTTGAGGTCTCTCTATCTCTAGACTTTAACCCACACACACTCACTCCCTTTCCCTATATTATTGTTTGTTATTATTGTATTGTATGTGATTGATTAATTGATTGTGAGCTTTTTTAATAACAGGACATTATAGTTCCTCGCTTGGCTTCCCGTCATCCCCTTGCTGGTGGATCTGCCCTGTGTGATAAACCTTTAGACCATCCTAAGATTTTAAGGATAGCTCGAATCGCGGTTAAGCTGTACAACCGGCAGCAGGTTTTATTATTATTATTGTTATTATTATTATTATTATTATATCATTGTGTTTGCGTATTCCTGTATTTTGTTTTTACAATAATAATATTAAGGCCTTGTTTGGGTTAATCTAGTTTTGCACTTTTTTGTTTTTTTTAATCTTATTTAGGTCATATCACCTTTTATTTGAGTCCCATTACTTCTCTATCACATTTAAGATATTTTCATAAAAAGTCAAAACCCAAACAACCCCTTAGCATAATGATTGATTGATTATGCTCAATTCCAACTTTTGGTATATATATATATAGCAAATAGAGGAGAAACATGTCTTCCACCTTGCTAAACATAATGTGAATTGAGACATTGTAACCCTGCCCTCTTTAAAAGAGATTCAAGCTATGTGAATTTGATAACACCTTCATATCCCTCCAGTGGCGATTCCAGCAATATTTAGAGTCCGGGTCACCTCACATGTTCAAGTTCTACAAATTGACAAGAAATAAAGAAAATTACACTAAACAACTTTTAGGTTTTAAAAAAAAAAAAGCCAAAAATCTATAAATAAAAGATAAAAAATAAAGAAAAAGAGGTCAAAATTTAAATAAATAAAAAACAATAAAAAAAAAAATCAAAATTCAAACGAGATTTTATATTTCTCAAACTTTAAGTAGAATAAATTACAAATATATTATACCATTGTCTTGACAAAAAGTAACATACTCTTACAAATTCATTTGATGAGGTTTTATTTTTTAGATTTGTAGCATAATAACTTTATTGTCAAGAATGTCAAACACATTTTCTTATATATATGTAATCAAGAAATTATTCATTTATTGAAATTAAATTATATGGTGGGGTCCTTTAATTTTTTAATGAGGCTAAATCATATTGAAAAAAACATTAGTAATATAAATATATATATTTTTTGTAAGTGTATCTGATTGGTTGATGGTGGGGTTGGTCCCCATCAACCTATAGGTAGTGTCGCCCCTATATCCCCGCCTATGTTACATACCTTTTCATTTGACTGTCTCTCCCAAGCAAAGTTTCTAAAAGCCGAATGCATAATTCAAGGTGTTTTACCTCTCGATATGCATTTCAAATTTTAAATTTTTTTATTTAGTAAATAAAATTTAATATTTTAAAATAGTAAAAAAATTAAAATTGAAAAATTAAATATACAATTGTAAATACTTTTCTCCTCAAGGCAGCAAATGCTTCTTTGCAAAGAAGGAAACCTACCTTTATTGAAATTCAATTGACATTCTTAGCTTTACTGATTGATCTTCTCCCTTGTACTTTTAACTTTGTGTGTGTTTGTTTTTTTATTGCTCATTCACTAAATTTTTTCTACAAAATATAATTGCAAAAGGTATTCCTCTCTATTATTATTATTATTTTTATTTTACTTTTCTTTTTGTATAAACTCTCTACTAGACGAAGTTTAACAAGAACCTATGACAAGTTTTTTTTGTATGCGTACCCGTCATATGCTTGTACAGTGGTAGAGCCAAAGCCAAAAATTCAATGTAGCGGGGGCACATATTAATCGCAATATTGAATTTTTTTGTTTCTCCCACATTGAGCAACAGTGAAATGTTATTAAACTTGTTATACAATTTTTTAAATATTAATATTACAGTTATTATGCGAACGTGGTTTATAAGTTCTCAATCAACAACTCAATTCTATTAACCAACAATAGGGAGAAACAACCTACTTAATCTACAATCGACAAGTCCAATCCTATCAGCTCAACAAAGAGCCCCACAATGGAAAGAAACATCCAACTAAACAAACCCCATATTGGGAATGAAATGATCAATTGATTCAATTCCCATTCTTGGCCTCTTAGTTAAGAATCAATATGAATGTCCAAAAGAATCAAATAGGACACTCCAAAGTTGTGGTTTGGCCTTTAGCCTGCCCTCTCGGCTCGGCTCGGTAAAGCCTTTTAAAAGTTTGCTCTCAAGAGTCAAGATACAATAACCCTAGCTATACAGATCATTTGCACAAGAAGTTGAGTTGTACAGAGTACTCGAAAAAAACTATGTAAAAACGAGGGAAAATTACAAATTAGTTGTGCCTTCAAATTCATGAAAAAGTTTAGAGTAATGGTATACAAACAAAAAATTCATACATAGTGATGTGGCTCATTGTGGACCTTTCACTTCAAAACAACTCCATTGAAGATGAATTTATTTGCAATAATGGCATTGCCACATCATTATTGTTATGCTTTTTGTATGAATTTTTTTGTATGAATAGAATTTTACAGAAGTTTATAATTTTAAAAATATAGAAAGAGAACAAAGACACAATTAGAGACTCGTATCACATTGCTTTAAGGCTTAAGACTTTACAAATGCTGAATTGAAAGAGTTACATATACATAGGAAAATGCTCAATTGAAAGAGTTACATATATATATATATATATAGGAATAAACTTTTATCCGTTTTTATCACATATTTTTGCCTTCTATTATTTTATTTAATTATTTATCCTTTCTATTTCCTTCACGAAACTCGCTTCCTTCTTTTTTTAAATTTTTTTGATCAACATTGTCAATGGCAGCTTTTCTTTATCTTCTCTTACTTTTCCATGTGACAAATATATAAAATATACATTTAATGAATATAACTAGAGTATTCTATTTGTTTAATGAATATTTTATTTGGATCTTATTATAAAATAATGTATATTTTATCCACGCCTACTAGTTGTTTGGCATGTGCTAAAATAGCACATGCTATTTTAGCACATTATCCTATTTGGGTCATAATCATTTTATTTGGATCATATCACCTCTCTACCACATCTACTAGTTGTTCCAACTCATATTTCACGTTTTTTTCGTAAAAAGTCAAAATGTATACTAATCTAACACTTTCCAAACAACCCCTAGTTTTAGTTGAACTTGAGACCTGGAGGGAGCACGCCCCCACGCCCTAAGTTGCACCCGCTAGGCCAACCCCTTGGGGTTTTTTCTTTTGATTTATTGGTAGCTTTGTATCAAATGCCTGTCGCTCACCCCATCTCCACAAATGGGACACTTTTGTTGTTGTATATCTATATAAGTTTTTGTTTGTTTGTTTATTTGTTTGTTTGTTTGTTTGTTTGTTTATTTTTATTTTTCAATAATCAATTAGAGGATTGTGTTATAACATAGGGTTGGTCCCTTTGGCTAAGCTTTTGCTTTCTTATATTATCATTTTTGTATGGATTTATTACATCCGTATGAAAGTTCTTTTCCTATATATTTTTCTTGGGCTATTTTCTTTTTTTGTCTTGAATTGGTCAACCAAAGTGCTTATTAGTTCTGTCTTTGTATTATGTAGTTTTACAAATACTATTGTGTTTTTGTTTTACATATTATTGATGTTACTCATTCTTGTGCAACGCCAAGCAACTCTGAAAGCTATGTACAAGAATTATTTCTCTATTCAAACACTTCAATTGGCTACACAAGTCATGGTACATTTAGTCTCCCCTTGAATAAAATATACGCTGTGATTGATGAAACTCTCTAAGGTCCTCGTCCCTACAAGACAATGACACAAATAATTTGTCCTTGAGCAGCAAGTTGTTATTTGAGTACATTGTCCATCCTTCCAAACGTTCACCTTAAAAAAATTGAGTGTAAATTGAAAGTGCTTCCTCGTGCTTTTATTGGGCGTCAATAACCCTACTTACCAAGGTGGGTTGTGCTACCAAGTTAAATAATATGACTTGTCCCTTGGCTTGCCAATTACCCATCATCTTTCAATCTTGAATGGCGAAACTCACCAAGTCCCCATGTGTCTTTTGGCTCAATATATCGGCTACGACGTTAGTTTTTCTTGGGTGATATTGCAAGTCAAAATCATAATCCTCCAAGCACACCATCCATCATCATTGCCTCAAATTTAAATCTTTATGCTACAAGATTTACTTTAAGCCCTTGTGGTCAAAAAAGATTTTAAAATTTTTGCCATAGATATTGGTTAGCAACTAGGGTTGCGAACGAGCCAGGCCGAACCTAGCCTAGCCGAGCCTTGTTGGGCTCGAGCTTGGCTTGTTTGTTTATTGAGCTCGATTATCGAGCTCGGTTCGGTTTGGCTTGAAGCTCGATAATGAAATTTTGTTACTATTATTTATATTATTTAAATAAAAAATTATTATATTGTTTAACATGCAAATAATATATTTATGCTTTTATTTATACAACTTTTATATTATTAAATATATAAATAATATATTTATTTTATAATTAAAATAAAGATAAACGAGCCTAAAAGTCAGGCTCATGCTCGTTTATTTACTTAATGTCGAGCCAAGCCCTTAACGAGCTGAGCCGAGCACAGCTTGCAAACAATTTGGTTCGTTTGTAGCCTTATCTACAACTCTTCAAAGAAAAACTATTGTCGCTAACTCCAAGTCATGAATGAGGGGGTGATTTTTCTGATGGTTCTTCAATTTTCTGGAATGATACGCCACAATTTTCCCCAATTGCACCAACACATATCCAAGGCCTTCCTTAGAAAATCACAATAAATGGTATAATTGACTACTCACTCTGTTATCAACATGCCCAAAATTGGTGTTGTAGTCAACCTCGTTTTCATCTCTTGGAAAGCCACCTCACAAGCGTCATTACAAGTGAATCAACCTCCCTTGCTGGTCAATCTAGTCATTGGCGCTCGCTAAACGAGAAAAATCCTACAAAAAGTGGCAGTAATAATTGGCTAAAATTAGGCCAACCTCTGCCTCAAAGACACTATTTGGTTGCTGCCAACACATCACTACCTCCATATTTTTGGGTTCTAGTGGCACACTATCTCGCGATACTACATGCCCCAAGGACTTCACTTCTGACAACCAGAAGTCACATTTCTCGTACTTGGCAAAAAGATGATACACCGTCAAAAGCTATAAGACCATCCTCCAATGATCTTCGTGCTCTTCCTCGATAGGTGAGTACACAAGAATGTCGTTGACAAGCACCCCTACAAATCTATCCAAGTAAGCTTGAAAGATCTAAATTCATTAAGCCCATAAATGATGCGGGGGCTTTGGTCAAATGAAAGGCATCACCGCTAAGTCATAGTGTTCGTATTGGGTGGGAAATGCAATCTTAACGATGCCTTCCTAGTTGACTCTCAATTGATAAGTATTCCAGTCTTAAGTCTATCTTTGAGAAACATGTCGAACCTTTTAACTGGTCAAACAAGTCATTGATTCTCGACATTGGATGCTTGTTCTTCATTATGATCCGATTCAACTTCCTATAGTTGGTGCAAAGTCGCAAAGATCCATCTTTTATGGGCAAACAAGGCTAGAACTCCCCACGATAAAGTATTGGAACAGATAAATCCTTTGTCCTTTAACTCTTGCAATTGGCTGTTGAAATTCTCTCAAATCGGCATGTGTAAACCAATATGGTTGCGTAGAAATTGAAGCAGTTCCTAGGAGCAATTCAATGGTGAACACCTCTCTCCTTGGTGGTAAACCATACACGTCCTTTGGTCATCCCCTAATCTAACATCAAACTAGCTAGAAGGTA